CACTGAAAAGAGGAGAACCACTGAAAAGAGGAGAACCACTGAAAAGAAACACTGGAGGTTCAAAGAAACTTGAAAGGTCCAAGTACAATGCGGTTTAAAAACTGATGCAGTCGAAGTCCTCATTTGTGGCGTACTAACACCAGTACTGGGACAAGTGGGTGCTGTACCATTTAGATAGTGCTGGGACCTGTGTGCTAACATGGCCGTTACATAGTTAATAGAAAGACAAAACTAAAGGCTCTCTACCAGAGTGCTTTCAAAACAAAATAGATCAATCAAGTGCAAACAGAAATAATGGTATGGATAAAAGGTAGGATCTCTAATAGAAAACAGAGTAGGCATAAAAGAGTCATTTTCTGATTGGAATGCTGTATCTAGTGGTACGCCGGAAGGATCAGTGCTGTGACCTCAAATGTTTATAATTCATATAAATGACTTCGATGTGACAGGAAGCATGGTTAATAAATTTGCTGATGCCAAAGATAGATGGGCAAATACATTGTGAAGAGGATATGAGGAAGCTACAAAGGGATATACATAGGTTGAATGAGTGGGCAAAGATCTGGCAAATGGCGTTTAATATGGGAAAAATATGTGATATTGACCATTTTGGCAGGAAGAAGAAACACTACCCAAATGGTCAGAGATTACAAAGCTGAGTTGCAGAGGGATGAGTGTCCAAATCATAAATGTATGCAGGGACAGCAAGTAATTAACAAAGTTAGTAGATTGTTATCACTCTTTGCAAGGGAAATTGAATACCAAAGTTAGGAGGTTATGTTTCTGTTATTAGGTCTCTTTTTTTAAGGGAACATGTAAATGTATTACAAGCAGCTCAGCAAAGGTTTATCAGACGAATACTTGGATTAAGTGGGTTGTCTTATGAGGAAAGGTTGGACAGTCTAGGCTTGCATCTTAAGTTTAGAAGAGAAAGAGGTCACTTGATTGAAACAGAAGATCCTGAGGGGTCTTAACAGGGTGCACATGGAGGAAAAAATGAGGGACCTTTTAAAACAGACGAGGCAAACATTTTTCCTGTAGGTGAACAGCTCTTTGAAATTCTCTTCCTCTAAAAGTAGTGGAGGTAGAGTCTTTGAATATCTTTGACAGAGGTAGATAGACTCTTGTTAAGCAAAGGAGTGAAAGGTAGGCGTTAGGGAACAATGAGGAGTCAGACTAACCACAATCTTAACAAATGGCGGAGCAGGTTCGAGGGTAGAAATAGTGTACTCCTGTTCCTGATTCATGTGTTTATGTTCACCGATCATGAAAATGTCAAGACATTATACAGACAATAATGAAAAGGCTAACGGAATGTTTGCCTCTAACGTTTAACAGGACTTGAAACGAACTGGATAGAAGTCATGGTTCAGCTGTAAACGCCCTGGACAGACCACAAAGTTACTAATGAGCAGTTTGTGACACCACACTTTAGGAAGAAAAATATATCTTGGAAAGAGTTCAAGTGTTGATTCACTAAAATGAAATTTAGACTCCAAGGGCTAAACTCCAAGGAGAGATTAAACAAATCTGCATTGCATTCCTTGGAATTTAGAAGGTACGATCTGACTGAAGTTCAAGGAATTAAGAGGAATAGATAAAGGTACATTAGGATGAACTATTTCCATTGGTTGAGTCATAAACGAAGACAGACAAGTCAACAAATTAGAACTAGGGCTTTGAGGAGACACACTCGGGAACACTGCTCGTGCAACAAGTGTTAGAAATTTTGAACTCTCTCCCACCAATGATAATTGATGACAGACCAATTATCTAATTCTAAATTAGAGACTGATGAATTGTTAGCCAAAGGTGTAAGGGATATGACTCAAGGGTGGGTACATGGAGTTCAGTCGAAGATCAGCCATGATCTTATCGAAACGTACAGATGGGACTTTTGGAAAGGATAGAAAGGGTGGGTAGGGTGGTGATTAACTTTGTTAGCAAGAGATGGAATAAACACAATAACAAGAAACAATCTCGAATCAGATGAACAAAAAGTCACATTTTTAGGATAAGAGGTAGCAGGTTTAAAACTCTAAGGGTCATGAATCTGTGGAATTCACTACCCCAGAGTGGAATGGATGCTGGGACACTGAGTAAATTTGAGGAGATAGACAGATTTTTAATCAATAATGGATTGAAGCATTCTGGAGAATTGGCAAGACAGTAGACCTGAGGCCAAGATGAGATAAGCCACAATTGTATTAAGCAGGCTTAAGGAGCTGAATTGCCTACTCCTGATCCTAATGTCATGACGTAGAATCCATACAGGTGGAAGTGAGCAATAGCATCTGGAAGACACTACTGGCAGGTGTAGTCTACAGGTCACCTAAAAGTAGCTACACATTAGGATAGAGAATAAATAAGGAGATAATGAGGGCTTATAAAATAGGCAGTAGGTTAATCATGGGTAACTTTAATCTTTATGTATATTGGGAAAATAAAATTGGCAAAGGGAGCCACGAGGATCGATTCAGGGTACATTTAGGACAGTTTCCTAAAACAGCATGTCGTGGACCCAATCAGGGATCAGGTTTCAGATCTGGGAATGAGGCAAGTTTCATAACTATCACAGAATAAAACAGGTCTTAGGGAACAGTAGTCATAACATGACCAGTGTGAAACTTAAATACGCCTAATTACGTATGGATGAAGGCAGAAAAGGTTGGAGTGAAATGGGAAAGAAGGTTAACAGAAAAGATAGCTGAACAACAATGGCAAACATTTAAGAAAATAGTTCATGACTGGCAGAAAAAATCTCTCAGTGAGGAAGGAAGATTCTAGGAAGGAGAAAAGCCAACTATGATTAACTACGGAAGTCAAAGACAGCACCAAATTGAAAGAAAGCAAAAGATGTGGCAAGCCACAGGATTAGATAAACTTTAAAGCTAACAAAAGATGTCCAAAAAAGCATAAAAGAGGCAGAAAATAATCTATGAAGGCAAACTATCAAACAATATAAAAACAGATACTAAAAGCTTCTTTAAATATATGAAAATGGAGAGGTCAAAGTGAACATAGGCCTCCTAGTGAAAAAGACAGGGAGATGATAGTCAGAACCAGGAAATGACAGGAGTTGAACAAATTCTTTTCATCAGTCTTCATAGTGGAGGACACTAATAGTATTCCAGAAATATAAAGAAACATTAAAAGGGGAGGGAAAAAGGGAAAACAAACACAGTAGAGAAAAAGCACTAGGGAAATAAAGCGACGCAGGCATCAGTGCTCGGACCATAATTATTTCTATTAACTTTAATGACTTTGAAGACGGAAGTGAATGTACTATTGCCAAGTTTGGGGATGACAAGAATAGGTGACATAAGGAGTTTACAAAGCAAGACAGGTTAAATACGTGGGCTAAAATTTATATGGAACATAAAGTGGGTTAATGAACTTTGGCAGGAAGAAAAGCTGAATATTATTTAAATATCAAAGACTGCAGAAAGGTGCAGCACAGTAGGATGTGGGGGTCCTTGTACATCCAGAAAACTAGCATCTAAATTCAGTGGGTAATAGGGAAGGCAAACAAACAGTGTGCCTTTTTCATAAAAAGTGAATGGAGTATTAAAAACAGGGAGACATTGCTAAAGTTATACACAGCACTAGTCAGGCACACCTTGAATAGCGTGAATGTTTTTTTAAATTCAAGCAAAGATACATTGGCATTCCATGCAGTTTAGAGAATGCTCACTGGGTCGATTTAGGGTACAAGGGGGTTTTCTCACAACGAATGGTCAATTAAGTTGGGTTTTGACTGATTAGAGTTTAGAAGGATGAAGGACAACCCTACTGAAACACAGACTCTGACAGGGTAGATGTTGGAGAGATTGTTATCCCTTATGGAAAAGTCTAGGACCTGGGCATAATCTCACATTAAGAGGTCACCCATTTAAGACAGTGACAAGGAAGAATTTCTTCTCTCAGAAGATGGTGAATCTATGGAATTCTTTACAGAGAGGGTTGTCGAGGTTCCATCATTCAAGTATACTGAAGACAAGACAGACAGATCTTTAAATTGGTAAGAGACGGAGAGAAGGCAGGGAAGTGGCGTTGAGTACTATCAGATCTGACTAAATGGCAAAGCAAACTCTATGGGCCAAATGGCCTACATCTGCTCCTACATCTTGTTTTATGGAAAGGGGTTGAATGGATCCTTCTGTTGTACTTTGCTAGAAACAAGCCATTCACCAAAAGGTCCATGCTGGGGTTTATGCCGCATACAAGCTTACATTACCTCAACTCACCCTATTGGTTACTCTTCCATTCCATTTTCCTTCATGTACTTATACAGCTTCCCTTTAAATGCACCCACACCATCTGTCTCAACTGCCATAAGGAAGAAAGCAAGCATCTTTTGAAAAGAAGTTTCTTCTGAACTGCTTTTGGTTTTAATAGTGACTATCTTATATTTACAGACGCTGGTTTTGGGCATACAGCTTGCAGCAGAGTGCTTGCTTGCAACAGTTAGACAAATTAGTCTTTTCATGGTTGTTTATGCATTCTGGCTAGATAGAAAATAGCTGCTTTGTTTGTCAGCAATGCCCACATCCCATAAAAGAATAAAAAAAGTAACTTTACATATTGCAAGGTGTTGAACTGAGATGCTTTAAACAACACAGTAAGGTGTGTAAACTCTAGTCTTTCAGTTCTAAAAGCTCTTGCCAGGCACAGCTCTGATGGTGACACAGTAGCAGTGTCCCCAGGTCACACATTTATTAAGCTGTTGACATCGTGCATCAGTTGTGGACAGGGATGCCCTAGTGAAACAGCCCTCTTTACGCTGGAAGATAAAACACTGCTTATGAGGATTTGACCCGTGCTGACCTTAAAATAGGCATGTTCGCAGAAGGGGTGTGCATGTGTGTTTGCACAGCAGAGAGAGGGAAAGAGAAAGACAGTGTGCAAGTATGTTAGAGACAGAAACAGGGTAATCTTTGAGCAATTGCAAAGATTGAAAACTGGGTAGACAGTGCATATTTCCAAGGCAAACCCTACATTAAAAAGACCCTGCATGCACTGCAAATCAAACATCTTGCCTGTTCATTTGCAAGTATAGAGTAGATCTTTTTCCACATGAGCCTTTGAATTAAATGCCAAGTTTAATTCTCGGGATTTTTCACTCATTAGCCCATTTATGTACCTAGTTGGAGATACCCTTTAAAATAATCAGATATATTAGTGAATTGCAACCATCAAGTTGAATATAATACTTACAATCATGGAGGGCCAATCTGTGGCAGAAATGTATCCATGGGGTCCCAACATTTCTACTTCTACTACAAGGAGAGAACGAGCATAAGATAGCAATCAGTTCAGAAGATGCAAGTGTAAACCAGCCTCATTAACATGCACAGTTACACTCAGGGCAAGTGACCTTTCATCAGTTGGACACCAATATGTTCATAGGCTCCAGGGCTTCTTATGCCAAAATTATAATGCGTAGAATCTCAGTTATGCTATTTTCTTGCATCATTTGAGCAGAATTTTTTAATAATGACATTGCAACATGACGTACAGTGTCAGTCAGGAAAAAGCATACTGCCTTAATTACAGTCAATCCCATACAACAACCAACTTGAAATGCAGGTCACCCATAGGTTAACCTCCACATGGCACATTCTACACAACTATCCCTTGCTAAAGTTTGATGGGGTAAACAGGACCAACATTTGATGCAGGTTATGATCTTTGTAAAATCTGTAGCTTTTTTAAAAGCAGAATTTCAAAGTGACTGATGAAAATAAACCAAAGGTCAATATTTCAAAGTCTAGTATTTTTCCTATAATAAATGAACTAAAATCAACACTACTTAACAGGCAACTGATCCACTGAACTAAAGGAAAGCCACTTTTGCATTAACTAAATACTTTGATTGGGCGCCATAGTTCTGGCAAATATGCAGCATTATAAAAGTCAGTCTCATGTTCTTCCAAGCAAGGTCCAGGTTGCAATGTTTAATGTCCTTCAAAAGCTGGTCCATTAAGACTAAATGTCTCAGATTCAACTTCCATCGAGACCCTCCTCAGCAAATTATTATTCCCTTTGACATAAGTCCCATCTTCCTTTCAAATAGAGAGCTTGCTCTCACAAACATCTTGCTCAGTTGCTAACACAAAACCAGTTTCTGCCGCCTTTTAACAGCAGCTGCATTCTGTGTCTCAAAAGTTTTGTGTCAAGATGTGTAAGCTATCACCTGGTCACACCAATCTGTGTCTGGTTAGTTATTTAGTATGGCCACCATCTTCCCTGCCAGTCAAGAACACTTTTTCCACGTTTAGTTAGAGGGGAAAATACAAATCAAAATACAATATTGTCAAAATTCTTAGCATCTACTTTTAGTGAAGAAGCACTTAAACTACCATGGAAGTGCAATAACCAAAAGAAAATCCAATTCTTTAATCGCATAATGCACTTATGGGAAAGGTTTTGGATATACTCATCCCTTTCTTAGGCAGTCTGGTGACTGTGCAACAGCAAAGGCTGCTCTTCTCAATGCCGGAGGTTGTAAACATTCTAGCATCTAACTTTCTGCCTAGAGTACAGCAATCATTCTTGCCCTTGTGTCACATTTAAGTGTTTGCAATCCTCTAATACAAACCCTGGTATTGAGAATAATAATTTTCATTACAACAGTCACCTGATTTGTCTGAAAGGAATGAGTACACCTGCAAAACCTTTCCTGCGAACCTGCGATAAAGGAGCCCAAGTTTCTTTTGGTCATTGCAGTTTCATTGCAAATTTCTAAAATATTTCCTCATTGAACAAACACACTGGGCAAAGAGCTTTTGCAAAACTCAAAACCATAAGTTAATTCAAAGTCACTGAGTCATTCCTTCTCCATTCACCCAGTGATTTTGTCAAGTTTAAAGTTCCTGACATCCCTTCTCTCCATTTGGAGTTGGAGCTTCCCTTTCCTCTTGCTTTTGAAATTCCAATTCAAATGTTCAAATTGATCTTTCTCCTCTTCCCAATTTCTTTGTTTTGGCTGTAGATTTTTGCCATTTCCAACTCAAGTTGATTAATTTGCATTGAAGTCTGGCTAACTCAACTGCTATTGGGATCACCCTTTTCCTCACAGTTCAAGTACTGAAACAATATTTCCAATAATCTGTTTGTTTAGCCCCCATTAAAATCAACCTCAGACTCATCTGCCACAGGCTTCAACCACACTGATTAACTATTCTAAGCCATCAAGAGAGAGGACTTCTTTCCAGAAACGCCTGGACTCTAAAGTAGCAACTGTTGACTTCACGGAATTAAGTAAAGCAAACGTGAAATCTTATTTATCTAAACTTTGGAAAATTCCACCGCATCCAGTTTTACAGCAGGGCTTCCATTCTACAAGAGCCTCCAACTTGCGACTAATCTTGCAGAGAAATTTAAAAACAAATTCTCAGCAACCAATAGAAATAAACCAAAGGATAAGATTTAATATTTTAAGACTTGGTACTTCAACAAATTAACTAAAATTAACGAAAATCAAACATTACTTAACAGGGCAACTATACAAACTAAAGAAAAAGTGACTTCACATTAACATTTAAAGAAAGATAAATCTTACAACTTCATTCGAGGTACTGTGCATGTCTGGCAGAGGTAATAGCATGACAAGAAAGTATCCCATGTTCTTACATGCAGGATCACTTCTCCCTGTCAATCTGCAACTTGCGACAGACTCGCCCAAAATCTCCCACAGTTAACTTCCCTCAGCAAAATCTACTGCTTGCTCCTTAAAAATCCAAAAAATCTAGTACATCTCCACTATTCCATTTTACTGTCTCGTTTTCAAAGAGAGCCCACTCTCACTAGCATCCTGCTTTGTTATTAATATAAAATTAATCTCTACTTGGTGTTCACAGGAGCTTATTATCTCTGTCAGTCTCTCCAAAAGGCAGCTATCCATCTTGTGTCAAAGTATGAAAACTGTCACTGGATTTTCAGTAGGTTGGAGTTTCTTCTTCATAAGCATCTCCAGGCAGGAATGACAAACAGAGTTAATATTTCAAGTTTGTAACCTTCCATCAAGTCCACAAAAGGTCAATCTGAAATATTAACTCTTTCTCTCTACAGATGCTGGGCCATTTACTGCGTATTTCTAGCATTTTGTTTTTAATTCAGATTTCTGGTATCCACAGCACCTTGCTCTGGTATCAATGTAATGAAGCTTGATATCACCTTACTATCATTTCCCACCTTGTTTCTTCTAGGTTTTCACTTATCAAACTTCCAAGGGTTTCTGCACTGTAGGTCTTGGCCTACAGGTTTGCAGATCAATCTAACAACAATGGTCAATAACTAATATCATAGACTGGTGTCCCTGCTCTAAGGTACTTATTCAGATTTTGCTTCACAAGACCACAAATTCTAAGATTTCATACACAGACTCTGTGTCTCAACTACAACAAACTTGACAATACCATCTGGGATAGCTAGGGGATCAATAATGAAATCATGTCAAAATGACTGTCCTCAGCATAGCCTAGTCAATTACAGTCCTTTGTTGACCCTGTCTCAACTGAAATCAGCAATTAGAGCCGAAACAAAAAAATGCTAGAAATCACAGCGGGTCAGGCAGCATCTGTGGAGAGAGAGCAAGCTAATGTTTCAAGTCGAGATGACTCTTCATCAGAGCATTATTTTACTACTATATTGAAAACAAAAAAACCTACAAATTAAACTCCAATTCCTATTAGGAGAGGCAGGCTTTCGTCTTATATCTTCAATCTGAATGATGAAAATGTATGGCGCATCCTCCCAGGTCTGTGCCACTGAGCCCTGCAAAACATGTAAATGAGAAATGATTTAACACAGACGGACCAGCTATAGGTTTCTGGAAAAAAATGCATTTTCCGCAAGTTTTTATATTAAAATAGTTGCTTGGTCATACAGAACTTGAGTCTTACTATAAAAGGTCATTTTGTTGAAGCTTTTCATCTTGCACTCATCAGGGCAATTAACAAGAATACAAATTCAAGGGGAAAACAATTTTTATACTGCAAAAAAAATGCACAGATTGGCTGGCAAGTGGGCTCTGATTGGTAGAGGCGATGCCAAAGAGAATGCACCCATCAATTCTGATTGACAGTTAACAGCCAGACTTCATTAAATTTTAAACCAGGAAGGTTGACTTGGATTGGTCAGGCATTGCTTGATATAGCACAAATTAAAGCACTATCCGAACTTTTCACCTTATTTACAACATCAATAATGCAGGAGAATATTAACAGTCACCTGGACAGGTATGGGCTAATTTGAAGGAGCACGGCAATTTTGTACACTCCATTCAGCTTGATTGTATTTTTTGAAGAGGTAAAAGATTTGGGTGAAAGCCCTGGATTTGGTGTCCTGCATGTGGAGTTTCTCCCCATCAACTTACAACCCATACAGAACTTCATGCTCCTTCTGCTTTGGGCTCCTGCACATTTCTTGTTTTAGTTGGGCCATGACTGGCAGCGGTGCCTTCGGCTGCCTAAGTTCTAAATTCTGGAACATGTTCCCCGAATCGCTCTGCCGCTTTCTTTGCCTGGAGGTGATGCCAAGAATGAGGACTTTACCAATGGACTGCAATAGGTCATAGATTGACTGGCAGGATCAGTAAGCTTTACACGGTCAGGAAGGAGAAATTACATCCAGAGTGAGACACAGCTGAGATAACAAAGTGTAGAGCTTGATGAACATAGCAGGCCAAGCAGCATCAGGGGAGCAGGAAAGCTGACGCTTCGGGTTGAGTGAGACACAGCTGAGTCTGTATATCATTTGCAGAATCTGGAAGCAACGTGGAAATTTGGTGCAGAAGGGAAGAGGTACTTTTTGCTTGTTTTTTTTGGTTCATAAATTTTAAGACTTTTTAACAGGATGAACTGCAGCCTAGGATTGGGAGCCCAGCACAAAGCCAATTGATATGACAGGAAAACCATAAGTTCACTGGCTGGTAATTGCTAATTTGACAATTACAGGTTATTTTCAGATTTAAGGTAAATAGGAGAAATATTTACAGGTCACAAATGAAAAGACAAGTAGGAAATTTAAAAACACAAATTAAAGGATGAAATAAATAAAATAGAGATGCATGGCCAGGCGATGAGTTGTATCTGCATGATGTGGGAGATAGAGGACTCCACAGTGACCGCATCTATAGCGGATGTTGTTTACTTGAGGAACTCTGTCTCAGAAGTGATGAGCCGGAGTCTGAGCTTTGAATACTGACATATCAGGGAGGGGGCAGACTTCCTGGATACAGTGTTTCAGGAGGCGGTCACACTCCTTAGATTGACTACCCTGAATCTGGTGAGTGGTCAGGGACAGGAAAGTGTGACTATGAGTGAGGCAGGTAGAGAGATCCAGGAGGTAGTGCTGAAGGAGCCTCAGCCCTTGAGTTTGTCTAACTGGTTTGAGATTCTTGCTCCCTTGAGTAATGAGATCTGGGGCTGTAGGGAAGATGAGCAAACTGACCACAGCACCATGATACAGGAAGCCATTCAGGATGGGAAATAAAAGCAAAACATGGCTATAATTGAAGATAGCATATAGTCAGGGATATAGACACTGTTCTCTGTGCTCAGGAGCAAGAGCCCTGATGGTTATGTTACCTGCCTAGTGCAAGGTCTCTTAACAGGGTTGCAGGGTAACTTGGAGCAGTACGGGAAAAGATCCAGATGGCGTGGTCCATGTAGGTCCCAAAAATATAGGTAGAAAGAGGTTCTGCTGAGGGAATAATAAGCATCTAGGGGCTAAATTAGAAAGCAGAACATAAAAAGGAATTAATCTCAGATTACATCAGCCAAGAGCTAACTGGCACAGGGTCAATGAGATTCAAGAGGGAAACGTGTGGCTCAAAGATTGGTGTGGGAGAAATGGGTTTGAATTCATGTGACATTGTTTTCCAGTCACTGACCTCTTCCTTTGGTCTAGCAACCGACTGAGGCTAAAAGAGACCATTCACCAATTTGTAGTCATATTTGACCTTGAAATGAGCCTCAGTGCTGTCACTAACACCTTATATTCCCACCTCCACACCCACCTCAACAAATCTGCTGTTGAACCTTCCTCAATGCCTTTATTACCTCAAGACTGGGCTATTCCAATACACAGCCTGGGTGCTCTCTCTCATTCTTCCTTCTGTAACCCTGATGTTATGCAAATCTCTTTTGCCCATGACACCGCTTGCACCAACTTACATTCATGCAACAGTAGCCGTTCTGTGCTGGATAACCAATGACTCCGAGTCCCTGGACTCAGCCTTGCTTTCAAATTCTTCCCTATCTCTGTAATCTCCTCCAGGTGCACAACCCTCAGATTTCTGAATTACCCTAATTCTCACCTCCGGGATTTTAAATTACTGATGGTTGTACTATTAAATATGATCAGACCCTAACCTTACCGTTTCTAAGACAAACCTCAAACCTACCCCTACCTAGCCCTGATATCACTTTATATGGCTCAATGGCAAACCCTGCTTTATAAACATTGCAGTCAAGCACTATTTATTACAAGACCATAGACAGATAAGAGAGTTACGACATCCAACCCATTGTGTTTGCTCTGCCATTCGATTGTCTCAATTCCATTCTCATGCTTTCCCCCCTGTAACATCTGATGCCCTTACTAATCAAGACCTATTTATCTGTTTTAAATACACTCAATGACTTGGCCTCCACATCCTCCGTAACAATGAGTTCCATAGAATCACCACCCTCTGGCTGAAGAAATTCCTCATCTCAGTTCTAAAGGGTTGTTCCTTCATTCTGAGGTTGTGCCCTCAGGTCCTACTAGTTGATATATCTTCTCCACATCCACTCTGAAATGTACAGAATAATGGGATGGACAATGAGATCCCCCCGCTCTCCTTCTGAGCTCCATTATGTAAAGCCCCAACCGCTCCTCATATTTAAAGTCCTTCAATCCAAGGATAATTTTTGTAAACCTCCTTTGGATCCCCTCCAGGGCCACCATGTACTTCCTTAGTTATGAGGCCCAAAACTGCTCACAATATTCCAATGTGATCTGACTAGAGCCTATGCAGTCTTAGCAGCACATCTCCGCTCTTGTATTCTAACCCTCTCAAAATGAATGCTAACATTGCATTTGCCTTCCTAACTGCCAACTGAACCTGCATGTTAACCTTGAGAATCCTGAACTAGGACTCCTAAGCTCCTGAGTGCTTCAGATTTCAGAACACTTACGTCATTTAGAAAATAGTCTACACCTGTATCCATCCAACCATAACCTCTCACTCTCTCATAACGCATTCCATCTGCCACCTCTTTGCCCACTTTCCTAGCCTATCCCAAGTCCTTCCGCAGCATCCCGGTCTTCTCAACACTACCTGTTCTTCCAACTATCTTTGCAGCTCAGTGGTTAGCACTGCTGCCTCACAGCACCAGGGACCGCGTTCAATTCCATGAGTGACCCTTACCCTGAAAATAAACATTGACTGTGCAGTTGCACAGTGAGTAACTCTTACCCTGCTGAATAAACACTGACTCTTGAGCAACTGACTGTGGAGTTTGCGTGTTCTCCCTGTGTCTGCGAGGGTTTCCTCCGGTTTCCTCCCACACTTCAAAGATGGGCAGGCTAGGTGGATTGGCTATGCTAAATTGCCCACAGTGTTCAGGTACGTGTAGGTTAGGTGGGTTACAGGGGGACGTGTCAAGGGTGGAATGCTCCAAGGGTCAGTGTGGACTTGTTGGGTCGAAGGGCCCGTTTCCACACAGTAGGGATTTTATGAACTATCTGCAGTTCCTTCACAAAAGCGCTGTTCAGATAGGACCTGGATCATGAGTCCTGGCGAATTGCATAACTAGGGCTGTGGATAGGGTTTTAAACTAAATAGTGGGGGCGTGCATTGAGTCATAGGGAAAGTTATAAAATCAAAGGTAAAGAAGGTGGTACAATTGTAGGTTAATGATGGGATTGATTTTTACCAGAAAACAAAAGGAAGGGACAGAATGTATGAACGTTATATTGAACCACGGAATCCTAAAAGTATTCTAAAATCCTAAAATTCAATAATAGAATAAATAGGGAAATAAAGGCTTTGTATCTTAATGCACAAAGCATTCAGAATTAGGTAGATGAACTGACTGTGCCAATTGAGGCGATTGAACATGCTATTACAGAAACATGGCTGCAAGGACATCAAAACTGGGAATGTAATATTCAGGGATATTTGACTTTTCAGAGAGACAGGAAGGATGGAAGGGGTGGTGGGGTAGTGCTGTCAATAAGAAAGGAAATGAGGACAGTTGTGAGAGATGATCTAGCCGAAGATGATGTAGAGTCCACTTGGGCAGAGGTTAAAATATAGCAAGGGAAAGGAGAAGTATACAGACCTCTAAACAGTAGCCATTCTGTGGACAAGATAATAAATCAACAGATAATAAGAACATGTAAAAAGAGAGCAAGAATTATGGGTAATGTTTATGTTGGTTGCATTGATCAAATTGGAAAGGGTAGGTACAACAATAAATTTATCGAGTGCATTCTGAATAGTTTTCTACAGTAATATGACATATGACATGGGATCTGGTGCTGGGTAAAAAAGAGTTTTTTTAAAAAAAAAGAGTCCCCAAAGAAGTAGTGATCATAACATTCCATACTCAGTTTGAGAATGAGAAACCTAGGGTTCAGAAACAACAATGTTCAACTTAAAGGGAATTACAGTGACCCGAAGGTGGAATCTAACCTGGGTTCCTGGCACTGTGAGGCAGTGATAATCACTGAGCCACCATTTCAGACGAGCTAGAGAAGGATGTAAATGGTGTGGGGAGTTGCAT